ATTCTCACTTAAGATGCTATGGGAATTTTCAAACATAGTCTGCCTATATTAATATACCTGTGATTCCAATTGACAAAATACATAGCATTTAGCTAGAAAAGAATATGAAGAAAATCTTCCTCAAGGTAAATTCACAGGGACATAGATATAAAAGCAAAACCTTCCTTCACATAATTCCTCATCTGCTTATCTAATGTGATAGATGTTTATATGAAGCAATCTCCTCACAATGGTGGATGTTTATGTAAATGGAGTATCTGACTCACTCCATGGAGGTCTTACTATGCTACAACTTCATTAGCATGAATACACTCTGAAATATGACCTTTCCAAACACTAAAAGGTTTGTATCTACTTCATTGTGGTAGAAACTGATATCATAGGAAATGAAAGTAATAATAGGCTGTCTTTTTATCTTATTTTATTATGTTTTGTTTGTGGTGCTGAGGATGGAATCAGGGCCTCACATATGCTAAGCAAAAGCTGTACCACTGATCTACAAACTCCCAACTAAATACCTGTTGATAAGTGAATGATCCAGGACTTAGCATAATGGTATACAAAGCAATGACATAATTATAACATGTGAGTTGAATCCTAGGCTACAGACCACTGTCCTTTATTGGTATTATTCATGTTGAGCAAATCCAATGGCAAGGATACATGTGCATTGTTCCTAGGCTTACAAATGCTGAACAGAGTGGCTCACAGTTTTCAGTGTTGGTGTTGTTTCACAGTAGAATTTACATTTAATAAAAACCAAGGTAAAAATCATTTAACTGGGGACTAGAAACAATCCAAGTGTGTTTGACAGTATCTTAAAAAACAACCTAAGCCTCCCAGAAACTGATTATAAGTCTTCACAGCTGAGGATCAGCTGGCAGGAGAGGCCTGTCATGAATGTGTATCACAAGTGCTTTTGGAAATTAGGGACACAATGTCTGACTCCCATTGTGCAAAGTTACTTTTCCCTCTGATGTGTGCTCTTTTGTTAGGGGAAAAGTAAAGCTAAAGGAGGGACAGAAAGAACAAAGGCCCACCTCCTTCCTTATAAGTTCGCATTATACTTACCCAAGAAATTCAATTTTTATGAATATATTGTAAGAAGAAAATCAGTATTTAACCTGAAGAACAGTTACATACCTCAATCTATAATAGCAATAATAAATAAAGGATAGTTTAAATATCCATCAATAGAGGATTAGAAAAATAAATTACGCATATAGCCATTCAAAGGAATTTTGTGTGGTTAAAAAGTGGAATCATGTAGAAGAATATGAAATTAGAAAATATTTACGTTGCATTTTAAATGAGTAAGGCATGTTTCAAAAGCATATTCAAATATTCAGTAATCCTATTTTTAAAATATTTACATATATTTGTAAAAATGCTAATTGGAGCCATGACTAAGTAGTGAGATTACAGATGGAGAAACTGAGGTTCAGCAGCTTAAATGATTTCTAAAAATTCACATTATAAGAAAGCGTAAGACTAGGTGTCACACCTAAATGTGAATACGTCAAACTCCTAGGCCTATGCTCATTTTATCACATTCTTCTACTCATATAAAATCTGCATAAGGCTATATGAAGTGTCAAGTCCATAATGAGCTTGGATAAAGAAGTTAATTTGCTTTAACTAAAACAACGGAGTAAAGAACTGAGTTTTGTATCTTTCTCATTTTGAATACTTCAAAAAAGTTATATGGTTCATATTTATATTTCTCCTATTAATAGGGTTAAATACAGACTTGATCCTGAAAGAGCAAACCTAGTCCTGCCCTTAACCTTTAATGAAGTAGGGTCAGAGGTGTAGCTAAGTGGTAAAGAGCTTGCCTAGCAAGTGTAGATCCTGGGTTCCATTTCCAGCACTGAAAAACAAAACAAAACAAAATAAAACAAAAACAACCCAAAAAACCTCTTGTGAAGTCTCCATCATTTCTCCTGGTAATTACATTGTAGTGCCCAGAAGATAACTAAAAACCTGAAAGCACTTTAAGGATCAGCAGAAGGGATGCTATAGCTAAGAAGCTTTTTTACTGACTGTCTAAAGGTTCTGCAGACAATTGTCTGTAGAAATATGATGAAACTATTCTCCAAAAGTGATCAGAATGGTCAATTCCTGGGAGTTCAACAATAACATTCTCTGCCATTCATTTCTACTCTTGTATCCCAAATCCAGGCTGATTTAATTTCCTCCACACAAACTAAGGAGAGGGGATGAGTCATAAAGTTGGCACTTGATTTATAAATCTTGACAGAAGGCACAGCTGATCAATCCTACTACCCTGTTTCGCCCTTATTTCTTATCTGTTCCTTTGTAAGATTTGTGTGGTACACAGATGTTGTAATAGTTTAACCACTGGAGAAATGGTATTAGATTTGGTGGTGGTAAGGAACAAAACTATTGTCACAATTAATAAACCATATTAACTTTGCCAAAATAGAATTAAGTCAACCTAATACAAGTAACATTTAAAGGCATAAAAGGACACAGTAATCTTTGAAAGACAGACCTTAAGAGACTTCTCCAATGGCAAGAAAAATAAAGAAATACAAGAATAAGTCACAGGAAATGAGATTTTTTTTGAGACAGCAGCCAAGGTGAAGGCATTATACAAACGTGAGTTATTCTTATCCCAGCTGTTTTAGACATAGCGGAAAGGATAAACATAATCTACAAAGAGTAAAAAATTTAAAGTAGAAAATGTTGCTACCAGTCCTGGCTCTAACACTTATCAACTGAATGTTATTGGTGAAGTGGCCTCTGCTCATTTCCTTCATTTGTTCATGTATGAAAGGGAGGTAATTCCTGCCTGTCTACCTCCCCTCCTGCAAGGATTGTTGTGTATGTAAACAATAACAAAACAAAATTAGCAAAGAAGAATGGATGTCCTTGGAACCCTGAAAATGCTATGCAACCCATAGCTGCTTGTCATAACTATGCTCTAATGAAAAGGTGGCTGGACAAGTTTTGGCTCTGGGATGAAACCAAAACAACTGATGCCATTCCTATGACCCAGGTTATTAAAATGCTCCTCAGGAAAATGTAAGTAAATGTAGATAAGATAGGAAAAAACTGAAAATGGGATCAAGCTGAAGAAGAGGGTGTCACTGAGTTGCAGGATTTTTCCTCCATCAGATGGAAGAATATCAAGGAGCAGCAAGGTGGGTTGGTGGAAAGAGAAACAATGCAGGAACAAAGTAAATTTTGTCATCTCCTTCAGTATGGGATTTTGGGCAAATTATGTGCTTCCTTTGACCTTTCAGTTTTCTAACAAAATATGTAAAATAATCAATATAATACCTACCTTGAAAGGTCAGTAAGTAATTAAATTAAATTAGTTTAAATAATATACATTGCTGTGTACAGAGCGGGGTACATGGCTGGTATCCAATGAAAGTGAGTTATTTCATTTTTCCAAGTTCCTTTCATAATATGCATGCATATTTTACCAACACAGGAAAATGTTTTGGATACTCTCTAACAGCCTGATTGCATCTCCCAAGACAACCTGAAAATAGGACTCCATTAAAATGTTTGTATAAGTTCCATCTTTCTCCATTATGTCTATCTGATTATAATATTCTCACAAATTCATCTTGTATTGAAATTATTCTGCAGAGTCTATAAAGGTGTCCTATAAGATTTAGTATATAAATACTTAGAGTGCCTGACACAGCTGCTGACTCTAAAAGTCATGATAATGTGGAGTAACACTCAAAAGAGAAAGCTGAGAGAGTTTTTCTAGTTTCCTTACTCCACTTCTTAGAGTAACACCAAAGCAAAATAGTCAATGAAAAGTGTCCTTTTATTTTCCAGAATGGAAAAGGATTAATGTATTCTGAAGTTTAGTTGAACATTATTACAATGCATGTGTATATATATGTAGGTGTGTGTGTGTTACTCAACTTCTTTTTCTTCAGTAATTTTAACCCCTGTTCTCTTCTTTTAAAAAGACTTTTGCCTTTCTTGGCCTACCGACATTCTGTTCATCCAGATAAAAGCTATTCTTTCTGGGAATTCTCAGATTACAAAGGGGTCCCACCTCTCTACCCTAACAGCAAGTAGAAACAGTTTACTTTTCTCTGTACATTGTAACATTTTCTTTAAACCACTAAGTACCTTTTCATTCACCCTTTATACCTTCTACATGTTCTCAAGATTTAAGTGGGTATTTGGGATGTAGCTGGTACTTGCATTGGCTGAAAATGTGACTGATCAACCTCAGCTTCCATTTAGTTTCCATTAATTCTCACTTAAAGTTTGCCATGTATGACAATGTGGTGCTATTTTAAGAGTTGGGAAATGGATCAGATTTGAGTTGGCATTAGAGAAAAGATAATTCTTTTACTTCCCCATTTAATCTTCCCCAGGTTGTGTTACTATTTTAATTATATCACAGAAAATTTCATTTTAGACTCAAAAACAATATTTTATAAGCACTACACTAGATAATGATTAATTTGAAATAATTCTTGAACAGTATACAGAATACCTTTTAATATCCTCTGGCTACTTTTTCCAGTAAAATTTTGGGGGATTTTTTGATATTGTCTTTATCTCTCCATGGTGACTTAGGAGACACATTTAAGAAAATTCTATTTTAAGGACAGAGATTCTAGTAGACAGAGCCAAAACTTTGTGAAGTTTATTGTATGATCAGTTCCTGGAATCCCTCATACTCCATCCCTTTAATTCATGCAGTCACATTGAATGTTCAAAGTACATAGCGCTGTTTGAAATCCTCTGTGTACAGTCACAACGGCAATACAAAAGGAAAATGAGAACATTCCCCACAACAGAGAACCGTGAAGGAAACTGAAAGCAAAAACTGTATCTTTGTTTAATCCAGTTTGCTTACACTTTAACACATATAACTCCACTTAACTGGCCATCACAGCAAAAGCCACAACACACACACAGCAGCAGCATGGAGCTAACCACACAACTCAATGGACAATACAGACAAACTTGAGTATAAACCAAGATTTTTCTACCTCTTTTCATAACAGGTTAGTGCTGGCCCTCAGTGTTGGTGTACAGTTTTTATGGCATGGGAAAATAGGGATGTTTCTGCCCTATAAAAATAAATGTGTTGAAGGCTTTAGTTGGTGCTTACACGATGTCAGAAAGTTCCAAAAGGCACTGGCACAATAACAAAAATAAATAAATGGAAAAAAAATCCCACAAACAAATATATATATATCACCAAAACACCATGGCAAGATAATAAGAAAACTCTGATAGGAAATCTACTGGTTTCCTAGATGACTTATGCAACAGTTTTCAACACATTATTGAAAAATAAAAAACAAGAAGGCATGCTAATGGGTCTTTGGTGGGGTATTTTCTTGTCACCAACCACTATTCACATAAAGTCTTTGGCTTTAAACTGCTCATTAGATTATTTTCTCCCTGCATAGGTAGAAAGCAGAGAACCCTCTTTGTTCTTAAACATTTAAGTCTAAGGGAGGGCTAAGAGTAAGAGCATAGAAATACACGCATTATCTTTAATAAGGAAAAGTATACATGGAAAAAAATATAAATATAATTGTTATACCTTTATTTAATGTATCATTATATACACTTCTTTCCGACCCATAGGTTCACACATACAGTTGTTCATGTGTGATGTTTTTACCAACTTTACAAAAGGCTGGGACGGAAAGGTAAGTAGGAAGCATGAAGTTCTGGAGGCAATATTTTGGCTGCTTTTTTTTTTTTTTCATTCTTTTTCATTTCTGGGAATTGAACTAAGGGCCTCACACATGCTAGGCAACTGCTCTAGCTCTGAGTGACACCCCCAGTTCTAGGACAGTATTTTTACTCTTACATCAAAAAGAAAAAAATGCTAGATGAACTAGCTAGAACTGGGCTAGAAATAGTGAAACTTGGAAAATTTCATTCCACTTAATGATTTGTAGTTCCTCATAAAAAATAAAACTTACCACATTCTGGGCAAATTTCTCAAAAGATGTTCTGTGATCCATTGAGTTTCCAGACTTACATGTATGGGTTGGGATAGGTGAAGGAAATAAGGGAACATTAAAAAAAAGGAGAGAGCGAGCAAGAAAAATCAAGCAGAGTGGATGATGACATGATATGACACTATGTCCACATTCTAAGTCACGGGGTCCCATGAAGGTAGGAGAGCTGTCAAGGGTGGCCTCTTGTTACTGGATGCGGGCTCTGCTTTCATTTTTAACATCAAAAGCTCTTTTTGTATGCAAACAAAATGGTATGATCTCCAGCAAAATCAAATCAAGCAAAAACAAAGTAGAGAGGTGAAGCTGTTATGCTGACATTTGCAAAGCCTGCACATTTGGAAATGTAGTGGCACAGCTTCAGAATTTCCTGCTAATTTTCTCTCAGGGTTAAATTTCTGTAGATAACATCATTAATTCTTTAGATCTTTCTGACAGGTGGAAATTCCACTCAAGCTGCCCAGTAATAAAGCCTTTAGTTGTAGTGACTGAGCACTTGAAATCTGGCTAGAATTTTATGAATTTTTCATTAATTAAAATTTAAATGTAAAAAGCCCCATGTGGCTAGTGGCTGCTGCATTGGACAGTACAACCACAGAATATCTATTTCCAGCTGCAAAGGCAACAGATTTAAAACAAAACTCATTACTCTAAATGTATGAATTACAGAAAACTATAATTTAGTCTCAGAATTTCAAGAAACTATAGATTAAGCTGGGTGTGATAGCGCATTCCTGCAATCCCAGCACTCTGGAGGCTGAGGCAGGAGAATTGCTGTGAGTTCAAGGCCAGCCTAGACTATGTGAATTAAAGGCCAGCCTGCATTACCCTGTCTCAAAAAAACAAAAAAGAAAAAGAAAAACCACTATGGATTATTTTAAAATTAAAAGATAATGAATGATATTAATGTTTCTGGCCACATTTTCCATACCCTGTTAAACTGATCGCATAAGGAGATATGGAAGTGAGACTTTGACCGTTTTTCTAAAAATGTTCATAGATACTATTTTAAGTGTATAAAATTCATCATATGAATATTAAGTAATTTGTGATAAAAGACAAATGAGAATATTCACTTGGAAACATTACTACATCCTGGCAGCTGTCACTGAAAATGGGGGTCTATTTTCAGTTATGAACATACAATCTAGTTTCTAAATAAATAAAATCCTCTTTAAACTGTTGACACTGTTCTTTTCTTTGCATTATTATGTTTTGATTTTCTTTAAACTAAGTTTATATAAGATTAACCTGAAACATGGAAAGAACATTTAATAAACTTTGTGAAGCATGAACATCTGCAGAAACAAACAAAAAGCAAAAATAATATAATAAGCAATCAGCAAACAAAAGCAACTTAGATGGTTCTTATAAAATGAAAGGTATGGGGGGAGGATTTGGAGTATGTTCACTTACCATTTATTCAGTATCCTGGGCCCAGCCTCAGAAATTAATCTATATGATTATAACTGAGAACTAAGTCAATAAAATGTCACAAAGAACCAATACCTTTTTCTTTGCCTGTAGAAGTTCCTGATAGGCACTGGATCTTATAAAACGTGGATACGAATCACTTTTCATCAGTTTGTAAATATGCTCCTAAAAAGAAATAATGGTTGAAATGCTCTTTTATTACTTCTTGGGAAAAATAAAATGCTATGATAAGAATGTCACATGTGGTGAAAGAAGAAGCACAATAGCAGCTAAAAGTAGGAATGATAATGCTGACGAGGATACCTTATGTTTGGAGGACGTTTAGATCTTCTAATTCATTATTTCATTTATGGATCAATGTTTAAACAAGCTTGGGAGCTATAGAGCAGGACAACCACATCCAGTTATTTTAAAAAATGGAATTTGGTTTATTGGGATATCAAGAAATAATTTCAAATCAAGTTATTGATTTATTTAGAACACAGGAGAATATAAATAAATCTGATCTTTAAAAATGACTCTAGGTCAAAATGGATGACATGAAGTTAAGACTCAATAATCATTCTGGATATCTTTGGCCTCCATACTTGCTGGGAGGCAGACAATCCAGACAAATATCTTTGGTACAAACTACAAAGAAAATTGTCATCCACACATACTCTGGGTCAGAACTCATTCTGAAAATAAATCTTGTGATATTTAATTGCTAAACCCAAAATTGTACTTTTATGTTTTCTTTTAAAAATTATTCAGTGAGCTGGGCATAGGGGTGTAAGCCTATAACCCCAGCACTCAAGAGGCTGAGGCAGGAGGATCACCGTGAGTTCAAGGCCAGCCTGGGCTACATAGTGAGTTCAAGGTCAGTCTGAAAAACACAGTGAGACCCTATCTCAAAAAAAAAAAAAAAAAAATCATGCTGTAACAGATTATGTAAATATTAAATCATCCACTCCTAATAAGTCTGCAAGGTTCTATCTATCTATCTATGTATCTATCTATCATCTACCTATTTATCTATCTTTCTATCTATATTTTTTGCATTGATGGGGATGTTACCCAGGGCCTCAAGCATGCTAGGGAAGCATTCTACCATTGAGCTACACCCCAGCGCCCCCATTCTATTTTAATTATCAATGTTTGTTCACATATAAGTCAAACAAAGAAAAAAATGTATTTGTTCCATTCAGTCTTGGTCTTGGGGAGATTCTGTTCCAGTTTACTGCAGTTCAGGAAAGCTTAAATGCTTTTTGATCTTTCTAATCTACTGAAATATCAGTTAAATGTAGAGTTACAAATATTTGACAGTATCCTAGATGCCCTAATCATTTCTTGTTTGGAGAAAAACATATATTTTAAGAACTGCTCCCATTTGTTTTAAGCACACCAGTAGGAATTTAAAGTGAACTGGAATCCACTCAATGACATTCAGATAATCCTCAAAATCTAGCCCAAGGTTGAGCTTTAAGAATATGATAAACCTAGTTCTGCATTAAAATTTATTTGAAAAGTGAAAGAATATGTGGTTTTTGGAGTTAGGCTTTTTAGGATTCTGATCCTATGTTGCTCAAGATCTGCTACTTACAAACAGTTTACATTCAGATCAATTTGTTCATTTATCTGATCCTTAAATTTCTAAAATAAAAAATAGCATTACTGTGAGAATTAAAGAAATGATAAGTATCAGAGTTTGGGGTATATGTAGTAAGTGCTTCAATATTCTTGATTACATGGTGGAACACTTGTAGGTGCTGGCCTATATTAGTTAATTTAGTCCTTACAAAACCCCAAAGAGATTGCTAACCATTATTATATCCATTTTGAAGAAATGGAGGCATGAAGACCTGAAGTACTTGCAAGATGTCACAAGCAGACTCAGAGTGGAATCAAGGCAATTATTTCCAGAATCTGAGTTCTTAACTTTACATTGTATTTTTTTCTCAAACAATGTCAGGCATTGCTGGTATTATATCTTTGAAGACAGGATTTAAAAATCCATAAAAACTGGAGTTAAATAACTTAGCTTAACTGAAAAAAATCCAAGCTTAAGATCAGGTAGTAATATTTTATGTATGAAAACATTTCTTTTTGTTTTATGGAGGACCTTATTAAGCTAGAATGTTTTTTAGTGTCACAGACAGCAAAGCGATATTTTGGTAAAGATTTCGGGAAGGGCATCCCAAACATTTTCCCCACTGTGGACTCTTAGAAAAAGGCTTGACAAGTTTATCTTGAATTAAAAGAAAGATAAATCAGAAGAGAAATGAACAATAGGGCCTGAATGTTCATCTGCTTTCTGTCATGTGTCTTTGTAAAATGTAATTATTTCTCCATACAAGACCATGGTTTAGCTACAGGGAATGGCTGTCTGTCTGGTTAACTGCTACAACCTGTGTTAATTTTCTGTACAGTGGCTCACCGCTTTAAGTTGAAGCCAAGGAGAAATGCATTTTCTACCAAGAATGGAAATAGGAATGACATTTGTGTATATCCTTCTCTTCCATCTATATTTTATGTTTAGAAGTGGTGTTATTAAAAACAAGATACTTTCAGAATTAACATTCTTCTCCAAAAGAAGTTTAAGATATTTTGAAATATGTATGTTCGCATTTAAAGGCCACCTTTAACATATCATCAGGAAATAATATTCCCTTCCTTACAAGTTTATTTTTCTCCATAAGCACCAATGTTTTTCTCAAAAAATTAGAAATCTTAATTGTTTCTAAGAAAGCAATGAAAATTGTTTGAGAAAAGAACACTGAAAATTTGTCTTAGAAAGTTAAACTATATTTCCTTTAATTTTATTTCCATAGATTTAAAAACTTAACTTGAAAAATTAACATATGCCTGAATCTAGTTTTTCATTTTTTCAGCTGAGGAAAAACCTGTTTTGAATTTGACTAAACTTATAGATAATTTAGTTCTGAAAATTCATAATAATGCATAATTTAGGAAAGTCAGAATCTTAGAATCTACATATTGAAGATGCACAAATGCATAACACTGAGGTGGAGCCGTTGTTAGTGTTTGATCAAATACTGGGTGCCAAATATAGGAGAAAATAAAGTAAAAGTTTTCAAATATTTAAAAAATGCTCCTTCATGAAATCTCATGCAAAAAATATTTAAATTTATGAAATATGTAAAGACTTGAGAAATCTTTTCACTTGAAATGTGTTTTTTCCTAGATAAATAAGTTATTTTATATACAGTTACTACCTGAACTGAAAATATTACAAATATCTGATATTTACAAGTAAAAATAAAACTAAAGTTTCAGAGTCACCCACATCTAAAGAGTCTCTCAGTGTCATGCACCTACCTGAGCATCTTCAAACGTGTATCGTCCAGGTTCCTTTACATTTTGTGTTGTTTTGTCATAACTCTTAGAATCCAAATTAATGGCACTGGGGGCCCCTGGAGCCAGAAACTCTTGCCATATTTCCTGAACTCGAGAGGGCACTTCTCGAATAGGCCTTTTCTTCAGCTCTTCCACCGCCAGCCAGAATCTGTGCAATATATGACACAGGTTGTTTATTCTGCAGGCTCATGATCTGAAAATTCTTATAATATTTACTGACCATACTGTTCATTGTGAGTCACAAAAACAAACTCACTTTTTCTGAGGGCTTGCAGTATCAGGTCTGTATTGTCTTCCTCCCCAATAGTTGTATTCAAAAGTAAAATAATTCTTTGGAAATAAATACTGAAAACTATCTCTTTCAAGTGGTTATTATTAAAAATAGATCTGGCTGGGGATTTAGCTCAGTGGTTCTGCTGCCTGCCTCACAAGCGCAAGGACCTGAGTTCGGTCCCTGGTACAAACAAACAAAAAGATCTGCTGGAGCTCTGGTCCTATACAATCTTAATTTTGTGGAAGTAAAGTAGCACTGTTAGAAAAATCACTTATTAGGAAGAGGAATAAAAAGGGAATTCAGAGCGTGGACACAGAGTTTCTAATAAAGCAGGGTATTATATTGTATTCTTTGGATATTTTGTCAATATGAACAATGAAAGTTAGCACAGAAAGCCATTTCTGCTCTACCTGGTAAGAGGATTACCATGAAGCTTTCCTGGAGATAAAAGATGCCTGGACACAAAGTCAGAAAATGCCCTACCTGGAAAAATCAGGGCAATTAGCTAATTTTTGCAATTTATAGTAATTCAAAGTTACAGAATGACAAAAGCAGCAAACTTTTGCATGCAATTACTCGAAAAGTTTAAATATGCAGAGGTATCATAGCATTTTATAAGGTATGGAAAAACACATACTGACTCATTTCTGCATACATATTTACATAAAGAAAAAAAAATATATATATATATACCAAAAGAGCACAAGAGTATGATTTGCTTTGTAACAATAAACAGAAAAGTACAGAACTGATCAAGAGAAAGAAAGTTGAAATAACAAATATTTATTACGGTAGCAGATATCTTGCTATTAACACCCCACAAACTATGCTCTGTTGCTTTTATCCTGTCACACTTGTCACTTTCTGAGGCTGTTAGGGAAGTCCTCTTTCCTCAGTGTCTTTATGAGGTATGAGCAAAAATGCAGTGAATGCTATTGTGGAGTGCCATCCAAAAGAAAGCTTGGCTTGTGAAACCATTCCAGCGAATCCTCACCTGCTTTATTCACTGGATCTGGTACCATGTGACTTCTGCTTCTTCCCAAAAGTCAAAATGACCAGGAACAGTAAATGTTTTAAATTGATTCACAACATGAAGCAGTCATTACAGCACAACTAAAGATACTCAAGTAACAAGACTTCCAGAACTGCTTCAGAAAGCGGCAAGAATGATGGGATAAGTGTGTGTGAAGTGAGGGGCAGTCTTTTAGGGGGATTAGTGGCACTGTGTCTTTTACTATCATGAATTTAAAAAACCAAAAATTTAAACATTCAGTGTGGTTTTTCGATCATACGGCATACACTGAAAAGTTGTCACATCACCATAAATTTAAACAATGGGCTTAATTTTTTAAAAAAAATGACTCTAGATTTTATCCTTGTGGTTAGATCTAGAAATAATATTGAAAAGATAGATGCAGATATTTTAATAATTTGTAATAGAGAAAATACATGACAAAGGAGCTGTGAGTGTCCTTACTAGGCATGATCAAAAGTAAGGTGAATGCTGTTGCCAAGTGCCATCCAAGAGAAGGCCACTGGTTAAAACATATGCTGTGTCCTAATCCACCTTATTTACCTGTTCCCCAAAGCTAAAATGATTGTGAAGGGTAAATATTTTGAATCGATTCAGAACATGGAGGCAGTCGTGTAGAAGCACAGTATGCATACTCTATTGTCTTTGTCCCAATTTCTTCCCTTTTCTGTTTTCTTCCCCCTCTTCATCTCCTTCTTATCACCAGCTCTCAGCTGGAAGTCATTTCCCCTCATTTGGAAGTCATTCCCCTCATTTCCTTTGCTGATCTCTACACTAAGTTAGGCACTCCTCTGGACTTCTATCTAAACACTTATCATTTTGCATGGTGACTTGTTTTCTTGTCTCCATCTGCTACTAGGCTATAATTAAAATGAGAGCGGGAGCTGTATTTTTATTTGGCCACATGATGCTGGTAAGGCTCATGACTTGTTTATTTCCTTGTCACAATTCTCATGGCATCAGAATCTTTACAAAAATTTAGGGAATGAGAGGAAAACTCACCCTCCCATTCACTGAAATGCCAAAATTATCATGTATCTGCTTTAATTTGTATGAATTTTTCCACTTTATCATTAATGAAGTAACTTCAGTATGGAAAATGTTAATTTCTAGGCCCAATAAAAATTTTTAGCAACTACAATCTTGCAAAGGCTCCACCAGGAAGGGTTCCCATAAACTTGAAATAGAACAGGAAACTTCATGCCAACAATGCATGACAAAAACATATGCAGAAAACTAAACTCGTCCAAGTAATGTTTGTGGTCATCTTGTCTCTTCCTTGAGACATCTGTCAACTTTCTGCATATTTCTGAATGGTTTGGTATTGGTATTAGTTAAATCTCCTGAAATGAATATGACAATGCCTGGTGCTACTTAGTTCCAATGAAAATAAATGAATGCTGAGATCTTTCTATAAATGAATTTCACAGGACTGGGTAAGTCATGGAAAGGTGAAAATAGAGTATCCGATTTCAAAAGAATAATGAATGAAAGAGATCATGGAAAAACAGTTACATGTAGGGAAAAGTTATCACTCACTTAGATGATCTTATGGAGAGCTATTAAAATCCACCCTCATGTATTATGACATTAATGAAATGCTATTTCCAGATGCACCTTAAGTTAGAAAATTCCAAAAATATATAAGAATGTTTTTAACAGATGGGTAGAAGTAGTGTCTTGGCCTAATTAACAGCTTGATACAGCACTGCTCCCAACTGCCCCATGGCTAAATTTAAATGTGCAAAGTAAATGAGCAACCCCTAGAGTTTTATCTAAAGATACTTGATTGAGGTATCTACTCTCTTCCGTAACTTACTTATGAAGAGACAAATGAAAAGTTAATACTGATAAATAGGTTTTATTTTAATTTAACTATGTAAATACAATTGGCCATTCTCCAATTTGACAAACATTGGTCTAAGAGTTACACTTCTTTATGGAGTTCTTTTCAAAAGTACTAAAATAATACAGTTTAAAAAATCCAGAGGCAGTGTAAAAATAAATTATTATAAAGAATTGATCATGTTGAACAGCCTTTTCTTGGTTATCTTTTATCTCTTTAATTAGGTGGCAGAAATTCAATAGGTTCATAACATCCTCAGGTCACTGGTACAGAGTAATGACTGTGCAGTCCAAAACACCTAGACACATTAGATAGTGTCTCTCTGGCTTATGGCGTAAGAACAAAGCAGTATGTCTTACCTTAAGTTTTCTGAGCTGAATTCTGACTCTAGAAATTTAAGGAACTGTTCTCTCCCAACTGGGTCTTTCAAGGCTTCGTCCATGCCAAAACCCCATCGTTTTACGCTCTGCTGGCTTGGTTCTTTGCTATAGGAGTTAAAACAAAGCCAATATATTCCTTTCAGTATAATTCTTATTTTGTTATTACATTTCCCCTTTATGCCTTAAAGTTCCCATCATTATTTTTCAGAAAAAAAAATACCTCACTGATTGACTCTTTTCCATGAAATCATAGTAATACATGTTAAATTAATAATAAAGTTTATTTACTGATCATTATTTATTGATTTATTCAATATTTATTAATTTATACATTTATGGATCACTAGATGCTAAGTAATATATAGGTAAAGAGTCTTTTAGTTTTTTAGTAATTTTGAGAGATAAGTACTATTATTTTCATTGTATAGATGAGAAAACTGAGGCACAAAAAACATTCAAATTTTCCAATATCAGACAAATAATAAGGGGCAAAGCCTCAGACATTCTGACCCAGAGCCTCATTTCTTGACCACTACTCACTTCAGTGTCATGGTATTGTGCTGGGAAAATGCTTTGGTAAGGAAAAGGTCTCAATACTAATTTATGACTCTGCTTCAATTCATGTGGCCTAATCCTGGCTGATTAGTGACATGTTGGGGATCTAGCTTCCTCATCCGTAAAATCTATAACTCGTGGCTGAAGAGTCCTGGGCTTACCAAGTGTTGAAGATCCATAGCTGATAGTCCATAAATGTAATCTAGAAAAGTTCTTCAGACTACCAATCCTCCATTTGTACAGAGTCATGCAATGATCTTTGTATGCTGCTGTTAATATTGTTGCTATGATGCTTTCCTTATATAGCTCATGAAAAAACTAGGAGTCCGAGATTATAAGTTGGTTTACTTAAGTCAGTTTCTTAACACTTTCTCATAGTGTTTATGGTAAATTCAGTTGGTTGTTAAATTGAATTTATAAAGACATATTTGTGTTGGGCATAAGTAATTATGGATTTAGCATTCATTTTACTTGAATACACAGACATTTGTGACTATGTGGATTTTCAAAGAAACTTACAGCAATGAACTAAATTTCAAGAACTGAAGATATGAACACTAATACATCTTGAAACTTGTGGCTTTTGGTCACCAACATTTTACTCTCAACTTCCATGCAATCAACTTTTTCATTCATATTTCACATATGAGTGCCTTGCTTATTTCACTTAAATGTTGATCTCTAGTTCTATCCATGTTGTCATGAATGAGAGAATTCCATGTTTTTATGCCTGAATAGTATTCTATCAGTGATGAAAATATTAATACAAAATCAAATGCCTTAAGGTTCAAAAGCCATTATCTTGAACAAGAATATTAAATCATGGGCCAATGTAAAGAGTACAATCAGTTTTACAATCAATTATCTGTAGGACTCTTCCTAGTACACTCAGTCCTTGAAATAAGTGACGCATTTGGGAGGAAGAGAAAATGCCCCTTACCTTGCTTCAAGTTCCCAGAAAGTAGTATCATCAGACAGCCATGGGTTGGAAGGATCAGGTGGCACAAGAAATGGGTCATATTCTACATACTGTTCCGTATAACTTAGTAGACTAGGGAAAGAAAAATAAAACATTTCTGCCTGTTTCGTTTTCTCCCTGAGGATATGCCCAGTCCAAAGCAATGGAAACAATATAAAAATGTCTGGCCAAGGAATCGCTCATTTATAGAGGAAAGCACAATGGAAACTTTTCAATAACATACATGCAACAACTCATTGTACTTTTGGTAGAGAGATGTGGTTAAGGGTTTCATCACTCCATGCAAGTCAAAGTGAGGCAACTTGGAGGGCCATAAGGCTGTGACGGGTCCATTCTTGTCCTTGGTAAATCAGTCTGTTCACAGCAGAACTGATTTCAACCAATTTGGACAAGGAATTAAAAAGGATTTTTTTTTTTTTGGTCGGAAGTATTTATGGGAATTAGGTGAAAGAAAAATTACTGATAAGGATTTTTTTTTTAAATTCTGTACTTAGAAACAAAAGTAGGGAGGAAAAGATGTGGGAGAGGTAGGACTTGGCACTGCCGCAAAGTGAGAAATATGAATGCCATTAAGAACAGAGTTCAGTGAAGAAAAGGTAAATCTAAAAATCTGAGTTTAATTCAAATGCTGAAAACATTTAGTAATGAGTAGACTGTGAATGCTGAAACAAATTTACAAATATTCTCCAAGTTGCCAAAAACATAGCTGGTGTATTAAGTTTCATTTCTTTCGCCAAGAATGAAAAAATTTAACTCCTTGGGATTGTCCTCTGTATCTGATTTTTGACTGCACAAGTATTAGACCTCTAGGGAATTAAAACAATAATGATCATGCTGTCCTTAAACTATAACAAAAGAGTATTTTGAAAGATTTCTTATGTGCAAAAAGGCAGAAGAAAATAACATACTCATAGGGTTCCAATTATTTATTCCAACTCTTTTCCCTCTCCAAAGTTTTCTCACCATTTTTAATCCAATTTTTCTTGTGACAAATGTAAACTTTATAATGACATCTTGAATACTTACCTATCAGCAACTTTTGACATTTTTAACCGATGTCTATCTAACTGTATTTGCCAATATTTTATCTGAAAAGAGGATTACAGAAGTAGTTATCCAAGGAAAGACATCACAATTTTCATCTCTAAATTCTGAGAAACTGGACAGTTCTAAACCAGTATACATTTCTAAGTCAGTGAAATTTCAAAGCTGCAAAAAAAAATTACAGCAGAGGCCTCTAAGTTAATAAAAGATTAAAATCTATTTGAATGTAACATAACCAGTATATTTATAGGATGGTAACAAGTGTGACTATTTTGCTTACTTTAACAGCGTAACTTTATTTGGAAAGTGTTATGAAGATTTTAAACATTTTATTACCATGAATAATCAAATCCAGAATTACACTTCCTTATAAATATTTAATTCAAAAAGCAAATGTATTTTTTAATTTGATTCTATAATTTCAAAATAAATTCTACCTCCTGGTACTACCCCAAGAAATCATCAGTGATTTGTGTTTTGAGAATAATTTTATTAACTCACAACACAGGCTCACACGCTTATAAACAGATATGGAAAACTTCAAAAACTTTCCAAATTACTTTTCCTCATGGTGAATATAAATATACCACAAAAACACATATTGCATTCTTTAAAAAACCATATTATAATAAAATATCAGGAGAAAACAGTTCAATAATTAAAGCAACCAAGAGATAACTATTATTTGATATGAGACATTGGTGTTTGCATTGAAATATTTCTTAGAGCCAAAGTATTGATCAATGATTTAGAAAAATGATTTTTAAAAAAGCAGTGTATAACAGTGTTGATAGGGAAAAACTCCAAAAGGTTGACAAGAATAAGCATTTCTGTGATGATCATATTACATCATTAGATATGAGAAAGTTTGACCTAATGTGCCCAGCTTCTCTGCTGAGAATATTCTACCTGAAACAGGTGACCATACAAATTATCTCTCAAAATACCCACTATTAACATTCACTACCTGGTCTTCATGGATATTACTTTGCAAACCTTTAACAGATCATTTTATAGGTGGACCCACCTGTTGGTGTAGCTCATCTTCTGTAGGAGGTTTCATTTCTGGAGTGGGTGTGTGGGTAGGACTGTGACTTCTAATATCATTTTGTAAACCATAGACAGACTATATTAAAATAAAACAGTATGTTAGGACAAAAAAACCATTTACAGTGACAGAGTTTCTAAAAAGCAGATCTGTATTTTATATTCAGTATGTAACTCAAAGCTTATTTGATGAACCTTCTTACCAAAATCCAAAGGGCACTGCTATAATAAACATCATGTGCATGTAAAAATCGAAGTACAGCTCTTTAAAAATATGCAGTGAGATCATAAACATGAACAGAATAATTGATTATATGTAAAAATATGCTGAAGGTGACAGAACTTTGGGGCAGGCTGAGAGTACTAAATTGGGGATGATAAGGTTAAGTAACACTTAATAATTACTGATATCAAGATAAAACAGAGGTGGATATAAAGTAGAATGGAAATTTTAACAACCCAACAGAAGATAAACATAAACTGATTATTACCTAAGACTGCAGTGGAGTACTAACTGCAAGAACTGAGTTAAGAGTTTTGGTGTTTGGTCTGGTGGTATGAACAAAGACACCCCAGAGTGTTCTGCATTTTTCATCTCAACACTGGGCTGTAGAAGCTACCAGCTTGGCTCCTGGGTGCATCTGCAAACATCGGGGACCCCAAAGGCTTCAAATGTCTTTGGGATCCTTGATGCCGTAGTACTTCTTTATTAATTTGCCCAAAGGTGAAACCTACTATTTAGGAAGACTCTTTGTAAAGAAAGACCTGTTGGTTCCTGAGCATAAAGAAGGACCTGGAGGCTGAAGAGATAAAACACCATCCCCGAACTGAGGGGAGACAAATCCCAGGTCAGTGGAGCAGAGAAACCAACTTACTTTTTCTTTATTACCAAGTTATTTTTATTACTTTAAAACAAAGCATTTAATGTGTACTGTTGAGCGCTTTTCCTTTGGACATGAAGATGAAAGGCGAGAGCACAATAAACATGCCCGAGCCTGGCAAAATTAGAGTTGTCAGATAAGGTTTGCAGGGGAACTGCTGAAATAAGATAAGAGGAGACTGGACGCTTGTGACCCCCTTTCAGGCCCATCAGCAGTCTCACCAACTGCCTCAGAGTTCAAGTGTGCTTTGCTCCTGACCTACTTTCACTTGGACCTTACGTGCTTAACATTTTGTGCTAAATGTTTTGTTTCTGTACCTGAATCTTTTGGACTGGATATTTTCCCCTTCTGCGTTTCCTTGTAATTCTGCTCTTAGTGCTTTTGTTTTGATACCGGAGATTGAACTCGGGACCTTGTGCTTGCGAGGCAGGCGGCAGAATCACTGAGCGAAATCCCCAGCCCTCTTCGTGCTTTTTAAACAGATTCTGATTGGTATTTAAGCATTTTGATCATTCAATTCTAGACTATCTTGTGTAGGGCCCTTTAATCCTTCCTCCTGTCCTTTCTCCAACACATTAGAAGCCAATCCCTGTCACTGGCCTTTCATTTCAACAAAGGACTGACACATATGCTTTCAATTCACTGTTAAGAGGGTTGTGCTAAGTGGCTTGGCCTTGCTCTTTTCATTCCTTTACTCATTCATTCATTCATTTATTTTTTTAAACTCTTGCTATGTGCTGGAAACAGTGCTTGTTTGAGTGTAATTCTTGGGAATTTTCTTCCTGAAGCTTGCATAAGACTATTTCTCTTTCCTTTTAGATTGCTCAACTGAAGCAGAAAACAGACTGTGACCACGTCTCCCTCCACATGGAGGAAGCCAGAATAGAAAGAGAAGCAGAGAAAGATCCCAGGGGAGACTGAGAGCTCTGACCGGTGTTCAAGTCCCTGTGCCCAGCGTGGTGCTTGTCTCCTCCAAGGGTGTCATCCACTAGCCAGAAAATCCCTCTCAGTATTTAGTTCAGTTTGAGAAGAGTTTCCGTTGTCAGCAACTTTATGAAATCCTTTACTTAAAAGCAATTTTTGTACTGTAAGATATGAGTAGTTAATTCTGTCATGTCGTACATTAAAATTCAGATTTATACACCCCACAAATGGAAGTGAGGAAATGTTCATCTTTTAATGTACAAAGTTAAAAGCACTGCATTATTAACAGCACAAAAACTACATACCTAATCATCATTTTTCTAAATGTTTTCCCAGGATGTGGACATTAATAGTCACATATGCTGCTGACTATAATATTAACTGTCATAAAGTCCAAATGAAGATGTTGGGGTAGGGAAGGAAACAGGACACAAAGCAGCTTACTGTTGTTTTGAAATGTGAGTTCTGAAGGGACAGGAGCCCATCCAGAAAGTGGCTCCAGTCACTCATCTGCAAATGCTTTTTTGTTCTCCTCAAGGTCTCCATTCTAGGTCCCTCTAGCTATCATCATATAGAAGGATCTGGTCTGAGACGCTTAATGTTATGCATTAACTTGGCTGGGCTATGGTACCCAGATATGTGGACAAACATCATTCTGGATGGTTCTGTGAGTGTTTATGGATGTGATTAACATTTAACATGGTGAACTTTGAGTAAGTCAGATTGCCCTCTCTAATGTGAGTGGGCCTCCTCCAATTAACTGAAGGCCTAAATGGAGCAAAGAGTAGCCTCCCCTGAGTAAGGATTCCTGCCTCTAGATCCACAGCCTGGAGATTGGAACTGCATAGCTACCCTGGTCTCTACATTTTTTTGCTAGTGTCCTCTTCTGATTTTGGTCTAAGCCTCCATAACCAAGTAAATCAGTTCCTTCAAATTCATGCTCTCTCTCTCTCTCTCTCTCTCTCTCCACACACACACACACACACACACACCTTGGCTAATACACAACCTGATTTTAACATCAGACCAAAGAACTTTAGGCATATGATGCCCCTTGAAACTTGTCTAGATTAACTCAGTCTTCCTTTTGGCTATGTGACATTATCATTCTTTCTTAGATACTTCAGGGAATAAATATTTACCAATTTCCTTGTGCTTTAGTAAAGCATATTAAAATTAAAAAGAGATTTGAAAACTGACTAATCCTAATTCTTAAAAAGATCTCAAACTGACTATACATTTAAGCCTTCCCTTCCCATATATGGTAAACATGCTTGAAACTTAATGCCGAAATAAATATCCCAAAACAAAATGTAAAACAACCCCTGAAATTCTGAAGCACATAAGCTGGATTATGACATTAGGGATTTCCCGGGTCCTGTATTTGTGTTACGATATGTAACTGCAAGATACCTATTCCAGCTGACTTCCCAAGAACATAGCTCTTTTTGCTGAGAAGAGTACCTGTTTTCAAAGATTAGACATGGTTCAAGGTTTCATCTCCTAGGTAGCAGCCATGTAAGAGAGAGGGCAACCACACAGAAGCAAGGAGAGGAGCAGGGAGACAGCCCAGCAACTGTGAGGCCAGACTGCGCCACTTCTGGCTAGAATCTCTGATCACACAGCTGGCCTGCTCCACAGAGATAGAGGGTGGTAGAATAGACTGCTGCCTGATGTCAAGGTATTCATTGATAAAATACTGAAGCAGTTTAGAATCACCAGCCTTTTAAATTCCTTTTCTAAAATACAACATATAACAGGGTGAGTTGTGCCCCCCACACTAACATGCTAAATCTCTAATTCTATTTGGAGACTCAGCCTATGAGAAGTAAATAATGACTAACCAGAGCAAAAGTTCTCTCTTCCCCTCTCCCTTTCTCTCTCTCTCTCTCTCTCTCTCTCTCTCTCTCTCTCTCTCTCTCTCTCTGTCTCTCTCTCTCTCTGCAAACAGAGGAAAGGCAGTGAGGACACAGCAAAAAGGCAGCCAGGTTCAAGCCAGAAAGAAAGTCCTCGCCAGAAAATAACTTTGCCAGGGCTTTGTCTTGGGACTTGAGTCTTCAGAACTCTGCCATAGTGCATTCCTGTTGTTGAAGCACCCACTGTGTGGCATTTTGTGAAGTCAGCTCCAGTAGACTAATACATAAAAGGTATAGTCACATATGTGCTCAGACATGTGCTGTCTACCTGTTCCATTTCTATGCCTTTATGAAAGCCTGAGCTGTGGGAGCAAGGCCTTGCTTGCCCCAGGCACTGTGGGATACCTGAAGAGCTATATGTGTCCAGCACTTAGCCAGTCCAGTTACCTAGCATGAGCTAAGGTAATCTAATCTAACGTGACTATCATTCCTTTGCTGTTGTTTTGAGACAGGGTCTCAGTATGTAGCTCAGGTTGGCCTTGAACTTGTAGCAATTCTCCTGACTCAGTCTCCCAAGTGCTGGGGTTATAGGGGTTTCTGGCATCCATGGTGATAATTCAAAAAGGCAAGTCAATATGTGGTTTAGAGTTCTGTAGCCCTCTATGTACGACAGCATCATTATCTGTGATGATAATAGCAAATTTAACACTTCTGGTGATGAAAAGCTATAGTGATCAGGTTTTCTTTCAATTGTGGAAAGCAAGAGTATGTCTGCTATTTTCTGTTTTTCAGAACTTTTGTTTTTTTCTGGTAGTTTAGTGCTCTGCAGTCAGGCCTTGTCATTCTACCACTACTGAATCACAGGTAACTAGACTGCATCTTTGACAAATCAAGCTAATGTTCTGTAATTCCTCCTCTTATAGCGCTTCACCTTGGGATGCCTGGTGGCTTTTCCACCATTAAGTGCAGGCTGACTATACTCAAAAAGCAACACTATAAATGAATGCTTTTCAAACTCCCAGCAAGAACGGCAGGTGACGCACAGGTAAGACATTGGAGATTAACTTTTCACAATTCAGGAAGCAGGGAGGGGTGGCTTATTGTACTTTTTGGAGAATGGATGGCATTTCTGAGCCTTGGTCCTCTGAGCCAGTCTCTGGGACACTGCGGATGTGAACAGAGGATGGAAGGAGCTATGTGGCCTGCTGTGAAGACAGCAGCAAACAGGCTTGCTTTGGGCTGCTTTTGACTCTTTCTTCAGAGGGCTCCTAGGGGCACAACGTCTGAGACTGCATCTAAATGGGTTTTGTGGTGCTTTCCCATGGCTGCCTTATTCCAACATCAAGGTAAACTGTCTTAAAAGGAAGAAGAGACACGTGGGCCAGATTGGGATCTCTGAACATGATGCTGTGTATCTAGGGATAGAATAAAAGACAACATGAAAGGCCACAAAAAAATTTAGTTCAGCCTACTGCAGACACACATACTCTGCAAAGTGCTGCAACCACATAAAGAAAAAGCCGTGGAAAAGAGGGTTTGAGCTTTGTGAAATGTGTTTTTTCCAGCTATATCAACCTGTGGGCTGTGTCTTCAGAGTGATTGCTACAAGACAGAAATTCTTATGTACATCAGCCATTTCTCATGGAATGAAGAAAAATGCCTTTTCCTTGTATGGATCACTTTTTAAAAACTGTAGATACCATTGCATTTAAAATGTCACAGAATGCAGGATGGCTCTTTTCTCCTTAGTAATTCTCCCACAGAACAGACACTGAAATCCTTCCCTTATCTTGCAGGTGTGTCACAAAATTCTCACATTAGAAGGCTGGCTTCACATCCTCTCTGAAATTAAATACCTTTTAGATGACTTCTCTTTCTATAAAACTGCCCTTTTCTCATTAGTATTATTTTTACTCAAATAATCAGGTTTCCAAGCCGTTTCCTCTCTTGTGGGCCCTGAAGATCACACCCTTGTCCATAATGGAAGGCAGAGGGTCCTCAGTTTCCCTGCTCCCCTCTGGGCAGAGCGGGGCAGCATCACCCTCCTGCCTGAGACCCCGAGGGGAAGCCTGAGGAGAGGACAGAGGGCCAGGAGGAGCAGGGAGGGCAGACTCAAGCGCTTTGTGTTCCTGTAAACAAAGCACACACCATCCAGATCGGCACTGCGGTCTTCATCTTTACCTTCCGGGTTTTGTGTGGGTTTCTCATTCTGGACGACTTCTTAATGTCCACTTCCGTAGTATTTACACACCCGGGCTGGAAAAAGAGAGAGCCAAAAAGATGTTTTGGTGTGAAGGTTCTGGCCAGGAAATTCACCTGTGACTCGCTCCCGCAGTGACACAAGGCACTGGCAGTGCTTTCTCGGTGGCAACAGCCACTTCCATCAGCTGTCACCAGTAAGAGAATGTACTGCACCTAGCTTCATTCCTCACTTCCTGGGATCACTTCAACAAGACATCCACACCCCAAACTCCTCCACAGAGACAATCTTGAATAGCAACTGGCAAAGGCTGAGGAAATCTTCAAGTACGATCATCTGTCCTTCTGTCCTAAAGAGACTAAGTGACTAAAATGACAATTTAAATTATGGCAACACATAGAAAATGCACACTGAAAATCCTCCTTGAAGAACTATATTTTCTTTACACATCTGGGTCTGAATTAATTGAACTCTGAAACTCTTTCCATAAAAGCTAGGATTCTAAATTAATTTGACTTCAGACCAATTGGGATAATTAATAAATGGCTTCAGAAATTGTGCCAACCACTGAAAACACAAAGTAGAAAAAGTTGTCCCCCCACAGGAACACATCTGAATGACAGGTCAAAAGTGAATTAAAATTTTCATCGTCAAATTTCAAAGCACATGGCCTTTTAAATTTGATTAATGAACCATTAGCAGACATTTAAAATTCCTGCTTGAGCCAATTATTAACAGTACTGATTTTAAAAGCAAATATTATTAGAGACTGAACCATGGGGTCAGCTTTGTAACCCAGATTCCATCCCAGGAAAATAAAATCTACCAGGCTAAAATTCATCACTATGGATGAAATGGTTAAAATAATGAACTGATAAGCAAGACCAAGGATGCCTGAACCAGGGGCCATATAGATTCCTGTCATTTCTAAAGGGACACTTGGGACAACTAATAGTTAACCAGACCTATGATATCTAAATTATCTAGGGGACTTGGGAAGATTAAAAAGCTTATATGTCCACATTTATCCAGTTTTCTAAATAATTAAGGTCATGAGCTACAAACACTGAGTAACTTCTTTCAGAAGCCAGGAACTGTGGTGAGTGAAATATGACAGTGTTTTTTTTGGGGGGGGCACTCTTCTATTGATTTAAGAAATATTAATTTCCACATCTAATTAAGTATAAGATCTTATGATGAATGGTGAGATAGAGAAATGAAGGCATAATCCATTCCTTAATAACTTCCTAATACAAGACTGAGATAGAATAATCACAATATGGAAGGATAACGACTAGATAGAAGTCAACAAAGGATATTATACAACACAACATTTCAGATATCCCATCTTACGTACATTCTAGTGGTTTTCTCCAATATGGCTGCATAAATTTTTTTCTTTAATTTTGTTTTAAAGCATTTTAAAAAATCTCAACAAGACCATGTTTTCCTTTGTTGTTAAAAGGGGAAAAAAGTCAATTGTGTTTTTGAAGCATATATAATAGGTGCCACTAGCTGGTACCAGATCAACAAGAAATATTATATATAAATTGGTTTTCTGCATAACTAGACATATATTACCAATAAGATATAAATAACATTATCATTACCAAATAGCCACTCCATAAAAATGTTTAAATAGGTACTATTTGCTGGAAAGAGTAGTAAGTACATAGTATAGTCAGATTTAAGGAATAATAAAGTACTATTTACATTGGCCTAAAATGGAATCATAAGTCATTTCTAGCAATTCAAAGGTGAAATTATTTTCAACAAAAGTAAGCTGTGCTATAACATTATTGTAATATTATTTATTAGGAAGTCGAATTTAATATTGTGGGACCCATTTCTGAAGGGGAAAATGAGGATATCATTGAGAAATACAGTAGATCCTTGACTTATGAACTCAATTAGCTCCCAAGGGCTGGTTGTAGCTCAAGTTGGTCAATTGCCTTCAGAGTCTCTCTCCTGTATAATCTTAGGCCACACTTTCTTTTAGGCAGATCTCAGTGTCCTTAGAGATACACTGGCCCAGGATTTCTCAATCAATTTCACACAGGAAAGGAAGTTGTAATGTTCCTTCCAGAACTCTTTAAGGGTTCAATCTGTATCTGAGAACATCTGAAAACACAAGTGGCCAGCATTCGGGTCATAACTCAAGGCTTTGGTTATAAGTTTAAATTAAAATTCCGGTCATAATCCAAGTTGTTTGTATGTCAAGCCAGTTGTAACTTGAGGGTCCACTGTATTACTGCCACAGGGTTTCTGTGTCTTCATGAAGTCAGAATTCTTCATTCCATCACTGATATTTTATTAAAGAGATGCTAAACGCCATTTAGTTCCTTCTAGTTCTGTGTGTGTGTGTGTGTGTGTGTGTGTGTGTGTGTGTGTGTGTGTGGTGCCAGGGGTTGACTGGGGTTTCCTCACTCACGCTAAGCACCACTCTATCACTGAGCTACACCACAACCCACACGATCCATTCTTGTGCACTGAATAACAGAAGGTGCATTTGTGTAGGACCACTTAGGACAACTGTAGGTGATGAGCACCAGTGAGCGGTAGGACTGGGGCCAGCTCTCCCTAAATTCCACAGCTGGAGCAGATGACATCCTACAGAACAGCTGACTAGAAGAGATGTACACAATCTGGCAATTAAAAAAAATCTTGATTCTGGGAAAATTAAGATTTTAAGTGCATATATATATATATATATATATATGATTATTAGTTCAACCAAAATTGTATTAATGAACAATATATACATTGGAATAATATAGCATAAGTTTTAGAAACTCAATGTATCATATATTGTGCCTCAGTTAAAAATGATCTTTTATCCTTATATAAAGTGATTATAGATTTGAAAAGTGTTCAGTCTCAGACTTTTTCATGATTTTATGTTCTCAGGTAACTGCCAATCAATTCAGCCTCTGGGCCCTTCAATTCACCTGACCCCACCCCTTACCCACAGAGCTGAAGGAAGGCATTTGAGGTAGTAACCCCAAATTTCTTTTATTCGCTTTCTATAGAATTTGGTCATTTGACTGTTACTCAGTCTCGTTAGCTGGCAACAGATTTGATTTGGCTTCACTGGACGGTGTGGATGAGCCATGCATATCCAAGAGGCGGAAGCAAGAAAGCTATTGCTGCAACAGGGAAGCATTCACACCATGTCAGTTTGGAGCCCTGGCAAGTGGTTAGGTTAGATAGAATCACGGACTATGGGCAGGAATTTGGTTTAACTCAAAACATAAGGAGAAGCCAGTAAAAGGTTTTAAATAAGGTAATGACTTTATGTGATTTATATTTTTAAAAACTCAGACCTTATACCTTTTACAAAAATGAGCTCCAAATGGATCATAGGCCTAAACGTAAAAGGCTACACTATAAATCTTTTTTTTTTTTCCTGGTACCCAGGATCTAACTCCTGAACTTGTGCTTGCCAGGCTGGTGTGGCGCCACTGAGCTACATCCCCAGCCCATACATTATAAATCTTATGGAAGAAAATGCAGCAGAAAATCTGAGTAGCCTTGGGTTTGGCCATGATGTTTTAGATAAAATACCAAAAGCATGATCTATGATAAAAAAAAATGTAAGCTTAGCTTTATTAAAATTTTAAAAACTATATTCCTGGGAAACACTACTCAAAGAATAAGACAAATCACAGACTAGGAAAAATATTTGCAAAAAGCTTTTCTGATAAAGGATTTTTATCTAAAATGCATAAAGAACTCTCAAAACTTAACAATAGAAAGTGCACAATCCAATTAAAACGTGGACAAAAGATCTGAACACGTATTTTACTAAAGAAGATACACAGCTGGCAAATAAGCATGAAAAAATGCTTAACATACATGTCACTAGGGAAATGGAAGTCAAAACAAAAATGAGATGTCACTACACACCTACTGGAATGGCCCAGTTCCAGAACACTGATTCCACCAAATGTTTGCAGGCATGTGGAGACAGGAAATCTTGTTCACTGCTGGTGAGAATGCAAAATAGTACAGGCACTTTGCAAGATTATCTTGGCAATATCCTACAAAACTAAGCATACTTTTACTGTATGATCCAGCAATCACACTGATATTTACCCAAATGAGTTTGAAAATTTGCATTCACACAAAAAATACATAAATGTTTATAGCAACTTTATTCACAATTGTTCAAAACTTTAGAGCAACCAATATGCCCTTCTGTAGATGAATGGATGAAATGTGACACAACTAGATAATGGAATATTATTCAACACTAAAAAGAATGAGTTATCAAGCCACAAAAAAAGAGATGGAGGAAATTTCAAGGCATATTGCTAAGTTAAAGAAGCCAATCTGAAAAAAAAGCTATATACAGTACAATTCTAACTACATGACATCCTGGAAAAGGCAAAATGATAAAGACAATGAAAAGGTAAGTAGTTACCTTTGGGAGGAAAAAGGATGAATAGCCCAAACATAGAGGAGTTTTAGAGAAATGAAACTATTCTCTATGATATGATGGTGGTGAATACATGTTATTATACATTTGTCAAACCATATAGAATACACACGAGTGAACCCTAATGTAAATTATAGACTTTGAGTGTTAATGATATGTCAGTGTAGCTTCGCTGACTGTAACAAATGCACCACTCTGGGGAGGGGGGAGGTGGTGATGGAGAATGCTATACACGTGTGGGAGAAAGGTAGGAACTCTTTGTACTTTCCAATCAGTTTTCCTATAAACTGAAAACTGCTCTAAAAAATAAAGTGTATTAAGAAGTCAGTGAGTACACTGGGAAGACATGACCAGGGTAGGATCAGGGTAAAAGTAGAGGCAAGGGAACCAATTAGAAGATTATTGCAGGTACCCAGGCAAGAAGTTACAGTGATGTAGATTTGCATGTCATCATTAGATATGAGTGAAGTGATTGTGTGGAAATATATTTTGAAGCTGCAAAGCACAAACTGTGCTGAGCATAATGAGGGAAGGACAATCGTTAAGGATGTCTCTTAGTTTTTCACAACTGGGTGAATTGGTGTCATCTACCAAGATGGGAAAGCCTGTGAGAGGAAA